AGCTTGTTTTCCTAGAAGTACATCTAAATAAACTCTTAAATGAGAATAAAGGATCATTGTATATAATAATGTTATGAACAGAAGGACTGAATTCACTGTTCTTATGAGTTTTGTTAAACATTTTCAGTTCAAATGCAGTTAGTCTTACTTGAAAAACTCCTTAGCTTTTCATCCATAGTTTTCTTATAGGTTTCAATCTTGAGCCAGTCTGAAACTTGACTATGTAGCAAGTCAAGTTTACAAACTGTTGTGTATAATTAATTAACTTGAGATTGAAAATCTGGGACTAATGCCCAATATGAATATTCCTGTACTTCTGTTTACTTTAACCTGATGACTATATGTCGCTTTTTACATGTCTTCCTATAATTTGCAGCCAACAATGCCTTACATAAAATAGCCAGTTTCAGAAATATTGCCTGTGTGATTAATTTGTATGATCTCAAAATTGTTTTATGTGTTTTTCTTTAGGTTATATAGGGGAGTCATATACTCAGAGAGACTTAGGGGAAAAATGTTTTTTCTTTTTTGGCCACACCTTGTGTCATGTGGGATCTTAGCTCCCCAACCAGGGATCAAACCCCAGACCCTGGCAGTGGAAATGCAGACTCAACCACTGGACCACCTGGAAAGTCTCTGGGGAAATCTGTTAATTTACCAGGTGTTACAGGATCCCCCCACCAAACTAAATCTTGATCCCACCTACTTCTAATCAAAGGGGGACCACAGTTGAAATGCAACTGTGAAGAGAAACAAGATAGTTAATGTCTACAGGCCTGGGTCCAAGAATATTTTTAAGCATTTTCCTGACTACATGCAGTTTTTGCCTCCCAAACTTCACTGGGTATAAGATGCAATACCATTGGATAGGAAAGTTCAACATTTGATACATTACTGTGCTAAGTGGCTGAGGTACTGAAAATAGGCAAGCCATCCGTGGGAATCCAGATTTATAGTGGGCATTCAGACTCTTGACTCTTAAAAAGATGACTCTAAGAGTCATAAATCCTGTCCCATACTTTGAATGTCATCATTTAAAAATCATATTACTTCAGTAATCAATAGAATCTGTAAATCAGTATATTAGCTGTCTGTCCTCGCTGGAGTATCAGACAGTAATTCTGTCAAAGGAAATCTAGCTTTTAAAATGATATTCATTTGGAATAGTGGTGGTTTCTATCATAGCCATCATCAGTAAGCAGAGGGATCTCACTTAGACTAGACAGTAAACAAAAAGAGAAGAGATTCAAGCATACAATTACAGAGTTTTAACCTGTTTTTAAATCTAAGTACAAAGCTGTGGATCACTACCAGGGCCACTGTGATTATGTTTATAAAATGGAAGCGATAAAAAGGTTTCATTGTAAAACAATGAGATTAATCAACCATCAAATTCTTCATGTCTTAGGAAGTAAGTCTCCCCACTCCTTTTTTTTTTTTTTTTTTAAGGAATTGCTTTGTAGTTTTGTGATACCCTAGTGCTCGCTGACAGCCAGCTAAGAAATCTGCTTGAAAGAAAAGACTTGAGGAGCAGGGAGGGCCAGAGGCCTCCACTAATAAAACTGACTCGTTTGTAAAGGAGGCATAACTGGGCAAGTTCGTGTTCCTTGATCTGGAGGGAAGTCTTCAAAATAACAACAGTCATCTGATAATAGAAAGTAGAGCACAAAGTATTGATAGCTTCTGCAGCGGGATAGCATCTTAGAAATCAGAACACTGCTCTGATCCCATAGGGAGTCTCAGCTCCACAGAAACCTCCAGATGCTTAGTTTTAAGAGTCGAAGCAGATGCCACAAACAGCAACTGCATCTCTCCGAAATCCTAAAACCTCCAAGGTCCTAATAAAATGCTATCCTGCGCCCTCTACCCAAACCCCTTCTCCCCTCACCAGCCAACTCTGCCTAATAGTCCTTGCCCCTCTTACAGCATTGGTCATTCTCCACTCTGTATGATGGGGGTTTATGTATATGTCTCATCTAGTGAGCCCAACCTTAAACTCCTTCCACACTGAGGATGCCAAGTAAATATTGATTGAGTCAGGGCCGTCTTCTCTAGGTAGCTTGCTCCCCAGCCAGCACAGGCCCTGCAAGGAGAAGGCTGGTAGGCTGGACTGGGGCGCAGCCGACTTCCACAGCCACTTCCTTTATGTGGGGATAAAAGACCTCGAAATCAATACTAGTCATTTTGAATGAATTCTTCCATAGTGTTTTGTTCATTCTGAGAAAAATCTATCAGGCGCTAGCCGGGTGTTTGGCACTCTGAATGACAACGACAGTGCACATTCTGATGAGAAACACAAACTCCCAACTAAACAAATGCATCATGAAAAGTGCCAGAAATGTAATTCATAGAAAACACTGCGTCTGTGAAGACAGGAGTGGCCAGTCCTGCCTGGTGGGCTAATCTAGGTCAGTCTCTCAAACCAGGTTCAGGTCCTACATGATGAATCCAAGGGGAGGTGCTAGGAGTCTCAGAGGTCAGGTGGCTGCTTTAAACCCCGGCTTGGTGGTCATCAGCGTCCAGCAGACATACATGAATGAGAGACCATGGTTCATCTTTCCCTTTTCTCTTGTGAATTTAAGAGCTTCTGTACCCCCCCCCCCCCCACCGAAACCCCCGGATCTTCAAATAGCTGTGAGTTGCTATTTCTATAAAGTAGACAGGGACTCTTTAAATGGTTTTCAAATGATATAGGAGCATTTAGCAAAAATCTGGTCAGTTCATTTAGCATAAAAGGTCTAAATTAGGCAACCATAGGATGTTCAAAATAAAATTGTGACTATGGATACAACTTGATCTCAGATTTTGATGGAGAATTCCTTCAATCCTAACATTTCTACATTGAGTCATTCAACAAATGTGCCTTGAGTTGCCCAAGTGTACACCTTCTGTCCCAGGAGTTGGGGGCCCAGACTCTGGCTCCAGTCAGCCTCCTCTGCAGACCATCACCAGCAGTGTGGGGGAAAAAGTCAGGGGCCCACCCGGCAACACTGTTTTTAGAGTGATATTCACTGCGCATTCAGAGACCAAAAGCCAAATGGGAGAGCACAGCAGAGAAGTGAGATGATTTTCTGGAAAATCCAGTTGAGAATTCCACTTGGGAGGAGGAGCAGGGCCCTAGATGGTCCCCACACAGTCTGAGTCATTTAAGCCTTTCCCCAAGCCTAGGTGGCACCAGTGGTAAAGAATCTACCTGCCAATGCAGGAGATGTGGAAGACTGCAGTTTGATCCCTGGGTCAGGAAGATCCCCTGGAGTAGGAAAGGGCAACCCACTCTAATATTCTTGCTTAGAAAATTCCATGGATAGGTACAGTCCGTGGGGTTGCAAAGGGCTGGACATGACTCAGTGACTGAGCATGAGCACTGAACCTTTTGCTCTGACCACAGGGCGTAGTGCACATAGCTGGCATTCTGAGAAGCAGTAGGACAAACAATAATTCCTATTCTCTGGGAGAAAAACAAGACCCAAATCCTCACATGTCTCATATGATTTAGAAAATCTAAAGTGGCATCAGGTTAGCCAAGTTTGCAATAAGATATCTAAGAATTAGCTTTTATGATCTATCTTAAGTGAGATTTCCTTCTGACTTTTTTCAAATGAAAGTTTACCAGCTGCATTTCTTCACCCTAAAGTCACTATTTTAAAGTCATCATGTTCTAGTCAGTAGTGAATGACTTAGTAGTTTTTGTAATGACTAATGAACTTTTATCTGTTTAACAAGAATTTATTTAGTGCTTACTGTGTTCCAGGCCCTGGAGACATAAAGCCTGAGTTCTAGGCATCAGGAAGGGGCCACAATCTAATCAATAATTATAATATAGTATAATAAATACAATCAGATAAATATGAACATCCTTGATAGTCCAGTGGCTAAGACTCCACACTCCAAATGCAGGGGGCCCAGGTTCGATCCCTGGTGAGGGAACTAGATCCCACATGCTGCAACTAAAAAAATGATTGTTGACTACTGCAATGAAGATTGAAGACCCTGAGTGCCACAACTAAGACCTGGCACAGCCAAATAAGTGAATGAATAAATAAATATCTTTTCTTAAAACAGATAGCAGTGACAAAGAGTGCATAGCTGCCTCCTTGGGAAAGACGGAGCTAAGGCTTTGAAAAGGAAATGGTATGAGCGGGTTGAAAGATGAAAGGATGGGTTGTAAACATCCATGGCATATACATAGAGAATGTATTATCAGTGTCTGAGCTTATATGGTAGAGTTCAGGTTGAAAGGCCCCTTATCAGTCTTCTGACCCAGTATCCCCCAGCCAGAAAATCTCCAGCAGGAAGCACTGGTACTAGTACACTGGTCTCCCAATGATGCTCTGGAATAGAGCTTCAGATTTCCCTCCCCAAAGCAGGGGTCAGGGCACCTGCTCAGGATTTTCATTTATTTTGTACATTAGTTGACGTAAGTTTTCCTTGGAGGGAAAAATAGTTCCACAACTAAAAATCACTGGCCTGGTACAAAGAGCATGAGACCTTTGGGGGTAGCCCCATGTCCATAGGCAAATGAGTTCAAATTATTTAAGGCAGGAGAAAGTGATCTGTAAACTGTAATGCAATTGAATACCTCTAAATTATTTTTTTTAAGTCATTTTTGTTATGATCCATTTGGGCCTGAGTTCCTTCCTTTACAAAGTGAAGACATTTCACCCAGAAGTCTCAAGTCCCCTGGGTAGCTCTAGACTTAAATGCTTTGGAAATTATCCAGCTTTCTCTTAACTCTTTCTGAGGACGAGAATGCTTTTTCAGTGTACTCCTTTGCACTGTTTTTGATGAGACTTAATACTGGAATTAGAGCATCTTGTTGGTGAATTACAACTAGTCACTGGTTTTGAAAATTGCAAACACTGGCATGCAAAGCTGAGGCTATGTGGTTTTCACGATATATGGCCGTTGCAAGAGCTGGTGATGTTTTTTTGTTGCACATATGCCCAACGTTGGTAACTTCAAATCTTGCTTTTAATGACATATTTATGTTCTTTTGGTAGCCAGAAGTGCAACTTGCTGAAGGCTTCGATGTGTTTATGCCTAAATCTCAGCTGGACTCTATATTGTCAAACTACACTCGCTCAGGAAGCCTTCTGTTTAGAAAACTGGTGTGTGCATTTTTTGATGACAAGACTTTGGCTAACTCCTTACCCAATGGGAAGAGGAAAAGAGGACTCAATGACAACCGGAAAGGACTAGACCAAAATATTGTGGGTGCAATAAAAGGTTGGTCTGCCTCATTTCATTTTAACGGGGTCTTTGTTAAGCTTTGCCTTCATTCCATAAAGATGCAGCTGAAACTGTAGTCAGTGAACTAGAGGTGAATTTAACTTGCTGTTGGACATCTGCCCACCGGCATGGCTTTTGGGTATGAGCTCCTTAACCCTCCGCCCCAAATACCACTAGAAATTGCTGTTTCAAGGTGATGTTAACTTGTTAAAATCAGAATTTAAAAGCCAGTCTGATCTGCTGCAGAACCAAAATGAAATCATTCCTTAATTAACTTTGAAAATGAAAGTATGTTTTCCTCTCAGTCATTTCACACTAAGAACTTCCTCAGCATAGGATTTCTACTTAGATTTTTAGTTGTCAGAAGGAATATAGCTGTGATGCTCTTTTGAAATAAAGTAAAACAGTTCTCTCCAAAGTTGAGAAGTTGCTATACCAGGTGACTGCTTCTAAAGACACCCTAAGTGGAAGTGAACCCACTGTGAAGCCAGACCCTACTCTGCTCCCTGGGGTTTTGTGATGTGGAGTCATGCTAGTTACACATAGACAAGACCCTGTGTCTCCCCATGCACACCTGTGAAGGTGTGTCTGAATCTCACTGCGTTAGGATAGCCAAGTGCATGCATACATGGATCTTCATTTAAGTCCAGTTCCACATCCTAGATGTATTTTTTAATTTAATTTTTCCTATTCCTTAATGTTAACATGTCTTTATTTAGGATTCTGATAAATGTAATTTTAGGTAATAGAAGTATTTCGATGTGACTTTCAGGAAGAATGTCAGTGAATTGGCAAATTTAAAACACAGCTGCCATGAACATGAAATCTGGGGTCCAGCCTTAGTTCCTCTAGAATCACTGACTGGAATGATCCCCCCTGGCTGTGGACTGGGACTGGCATCCAGAAAGCACCCCCAGCCTTCTATATCTTGGTCCCCGCAAAATGAGTCAATGAACGTAATAGCACTTAGAGTATACTTGGAAACCCATGACTGACTTTTGAAAATAATACAATTTTTAAATGGAGCTAGCAAGTACCAGGCAGCCTTTGTTCATGGCCAGAAGGACATGAGCCTTCATTAGCACAAAATTTCTTATTCTCCAACAGTTCTTTCACTTAAAGTGACAGTTGAGTTGTAGTAAATAAGCTACAGAGATATCATAATCGGTGCCACTTCTGAAAAGAATGATTCAGCCTGAAGCGACACTGAAAACAAGATTACAGAATTTGAAAAATAGCCAGTGATGTAACTAGGACTTGCTGAAGTGAAGAAGGGTCCTGTTTGGATTTAATATGGCTGGGGCTTGTGGAAACATGAAGGTCAAAGCTGATGATGCTTTTCATGCTGAAGCTCTTAAACATGCTGCAATGTAGCCAGGAATTGTTTTAATTTTCTTTTTTTTTTCCAGGGCAGTATATTAACAGTATGAAAGTGTTTGGAAATTAGAGGATCATAAAAGACCACGTTTCATTTTAATGACAGTAGAAGAGTTACCCTAATCATAGGTGATAATGAAATATATCATTACAAGTAGACCGATACGGGTTTTATTCTACCATTTTCCATTTAGACTGGCCATGATACCATAGTCTGAGAAAGTATATTACTAACAGAAGTAGACAACACGCCTTAATCTTCTTCACATCTCTCCTCTTTAGCTAAAAATAAAAATGGCAATGAGCCCTCTTCAAACCCTAGTGCATCATAGAGCAGTTTATTCAAACCAAGAAGAACTTTAATTTTCCATACTTTTTTTGTTGAATTAGACCTGGCATTAAAAATTCTTTTAGGACAACAAACAAACACAGTAACTTTAAAATAGATGGAAATCCACCCATAAGACACCAACAACCTAAGTCAACAGATATTGTATGTTCGCTTGTTTGCTTCCAGTGTTGATTCATAGAAACATTTTTATTTTTATTTCTTTTCCTTCTTACAAAAATAACACATGCTTGTTAAAAAAAGAAATCCAAACCATGAAAAAACAGAGAAAGCTGAAAGGCTTCCATCATCCCACTCTGCAGAGGGTCTGTGTGCATTCCTATAATCTTCGTTAAAACTATGAATGAGGTGTCAGCTTTGTCTCTCTAACGACAACATTCTGTTCATACTGATCAGCCAGCATTTTTACCTGATTTTTCTGACAATTTCTTACAAGCAGCTTGAGGACAAGCTTTGTCATCCTGGTTTTTTATTGCCTGTTGCACCTCACTGAGAGCTCTACACCCAGTCGGGTTTCCATAAATACACGCGAGGTGAATGAATAGGTGTAGGTTTTTGTTTTTCATGCTGACTTTGCCTTAATTTATTGACATAGCGGGCCTAGTACTAAACATCCATCCTCAGGGCTTCTCACACCTAATTTGGAACAGCTGACATCAGATGTTGCTGTAAATTTTTACTTGTTAATAAAGTGCCAATGAAACCAAAAATATGGAAACAAAAATTGAATGTAAATTTGAATATAGTTCTCTTAATTCCCTAATTTTCTTCTTTTCATATCATACTTTGACTCACTAAAAATTTATTGACGCACATACTACAATATAAAGTGATTTTTGGAAGTAGTTATTAACTGAAGTTCTTTTTTTTTGTTTTGTCTTGTTTTGGTTATCACTGTGCTGTGTGACTTGCAGCATCTTAGTTCCCTCACCAGGGATTGAACCCAGATCCCTGGCACTGTAAGCGCAGTCCTAACCACTGGACCACCAGGGGATTCCCAAAGTTCTTTTAAAAAAAAAAAGAGAGAGAGAAAATAACAAAATAACATGCATACATGAAAGAGACCCAAGAAATCTAAGCAACTCTTAATTTAAGGTCTTACAGAATAATTATACCCAGTTTTTCTTGCTATTATTAGAGTTAAAAAGAAATTTATTTCCCCAACCAAGTCTTTTGAATCTGAGTAATCTGGCAAAGTAATAAAATGGTTTCTTTCTTTATAATTATGGCAAGACTACTCATACTTTGAAAAGATTTTACAAATATTAAGTGTTCTGTCTTTCTTCCTCTGTCCTTTATGGGACAGTGTACCAATACTATATTAATTTGCAAAGTTTTACAACTTAGGGATATACAAAGGCTGGTCAATTTTATAAAACCTTCAAAGTAAAAACAATAGTGGGGCTGGATTTTGTTTCAAAGTGATAAGGTTGGTTAAGAATGGGAACAAAGATGAAGGAAAACCTGTAAAATGCTTATAGATAGGAACAGAAATGTACTGAAAAAGCAGTTTATTGTAGGATTGTTAACATAGCTCTTTGTAGTGATAATTAATATTCCCCATAGTATAGTATCTTGAAAATAAAATATAAACCTCTTTATAGAGATCATGCTTTCAATGTAATCTCATCTGTCTTATGGTAGCTAACACTTATTGGTAATTCATTAAAAATTCATTTATAGCTGTGACCCAAGGTGTTGATGATGGAAGGATCCTTAATTAGAAACATCCACCTGGGCACTTGGAATTTAACTCTGGGAAGAAGCAACTTAGGATCTTATTAAGTGGAGTCTTGGGTTTTGGTGCTGAGGAGAGTTTAATATCCTAGATTTAATTTGGAAATGATCTTACAGCCAGGATGCAGCATTGAGGTCAGGACCTAGGCAGACCGTCCTCCCTTCATGCTTTACCTGCCGGAGACCACCTAGTTCTTGATGTCTTATGCCAGGAGACCATGCAGGGTGACCCAGTGAGAGTTATGTCAGATATTGACATAATCACTCATGTCTGAAGGCTCTTCAGAAAGTATAGTTGCAGTAAAGCCATTTTTAGAACCTAGGTTATGATTTTTAATTCAGCTTCTTAGTAATTAGTTGAGTTTTATTATTGAGTTGGCCCAAAAGTTCATTATTGTTTTCCATGGTCTTAAGTAAAAACCTGAATGAACTTTTGGGCCAACCTGGTACTATCCAACAAACTAGATTCTTGAATCCTCTTGCATTCAGAGCAAATTATGTCTGCTTGTCAAATGCAAGAACCACTCTACTGCCCTTTGCTCACTCCATGCAGTACATGATGCAGCACAAACTTTGATGCTGCTCTTGGGGGCATCTAGGCTGCTGACCTGCTGGTATGGCCCACAGGGATTGGCATATCCCCAGGAGTGCCTTGGGTGGTGGTGTTTCTGACACTTCATGAAACCCACCCTTTCATAGGCTCTGCTAAACAGACCACCAAAACCTCTCCTTTTCTTCCAGCAACTCAAGAGACATCCAGGGTCTGTATTTGTCATTTTATTTTTTTGAACTTTTTGGCTGTGCCTCTTGGCAAGAGGGATCTTAGTTCCCCGACCAGGGATCGAACCTGCACCCCCTGCGGTGGAAGCACAGAGTCTTAACCACTGGACTACCAGAGAAATGCCTGCCGTTTTAGAACTCCTTTATTCTCCAGTTTTATTGTATATCATCACTCATTTCCTTGGATTTATTCCCCAAACGTGAATAGCTGTTTTCTATCTGGTCTCTAATAGACTTTAATATGTTTGGGGGTGGAATCTACATCTGACTTCCTAGTCATTTTTTTAAAAATAATTTTATTTATTTATTTATTTATTTTTGGCTGTGCTGGGTCTTTGTTGCTGCGAGGACTTTCTCAAGTTGCTGCTAGTGGTGGATACTCTTCATTGCAATGCGTGGGCTTCTCGTTGTCATGGCTTCTCTTGCTGCAGAACAAGAGCCAGAGGGCTCTAGAGCACGTGGGCTCAGCAGTTGCAGCTCTCGGGCTGCAGAGTGCAGACTCCGTTGTGGTGCATGGGCTTAGTTGCTCCACAGCACGTGGGACCTTCCCGGAACAGGGATCAAACCTGTGTCTCCTGCATTAGCAGGCAGATTCTTCACCACTGAGCCACCAGGGAAGCCCTTCCTTATTTCTTGATGGGAACTTCTTTGTGTTCGGAGAGATCTCTTTAAGAACAAGGCTGAAACATCAGCTTCCTTTTTCGTTCCATTTATGGGAGAGGAAGCTGAGGCTGTGAGAAGTTAAGTAAACTTA